ACAACCAGGTAGAGCGTACCTACTAAAACAATACTAACTTATGATAATTTTATTACACGCTTCAGATCTTATTAATTTTCAATACCTAACAAAACTTGATTTTGTATCTCTAAAGCTTCCTCTTAAAAGATCCTTCCAAGTCCCACATCAATTTCCCACGTTAAAGCGTGATTTCGTAAAATCTAAGGCATCCCCAAAAGATCCATCTCGAGGCCTGATGCGGTAATAATGAGACATCCATTTTTAGGGCATCCTACTTTCAGCCTTATCGGAGCCTTATGCTTCATGAGGATGGGCTCTAACAATTTTTGCTCTAACAATTTTTTGCTCTGGTGGCTTCCCGGTCTCTCGCGGATTTGTGTCCAAAAGAAAAGAAATGCTAAATCACACCTTCTTCCATAGCGCGCGGAAGTCTCAGTTACAAAATCGTTCGGTTTGAGAAATAAAAGCCCTCTTTGCATCGCGCGCTGCCCAACAATCGGAGGATAAACTCTTTAATACGGGGGTCGTTCTTTGGCCGAGCGAGCGAGTTAATCGCCGGACCACTCCCGGCGTAAACATCGCGATGCGAATGAGAAAGCGTAAAAGCTCGCAGCGCGCGGCATTCGCGGATATTAAGCGCCTAAAGCTCGGCCGGTTATCTCCAGCGACGACCTCTCTCTCTCTCTCTCTCTCTCGGTATGATCGAACGGCTCTCTCGGAGGCTTCGGAAATGGGGGTGTTTCGCCGCCCTGAAAAATAACACGCGCTCTCGACGGACACGTGTAGCAATTAATCAGCTTCGGGGGTGGCGGCTTGAAGAGGTTGTTGCCGTCACAGGCAGATGACGGCCTGCGGCGGCATCGTACTGTATTTTATACGGTGTCGTGTTATGGTTTTGCGGTGCCCGCGGTCGTTCGCGTGCAAGTAGAACGGGGCGCTGCAATTTCGCGACGATCGTTATATTCGGCACGACCACCGAGTCACGCGCGCGCGCGCGCGCGCGCGTGTGTGTGTGTGTGTGTGTGTGTGTGTGTGTACACGCATGACCTCCCTCGGTATCGGTCGCGTTCATTTTTTAAGCTCGATTTCAGCCCGCGGTACTCCGGGAATTATCATCGGCGGTATTCGTTCGGCGGTCCTTCGCTCGTAATACGAGAGACTAATATTTTCCGGTTCCGCACGGCCGCTCGTCAATGTCGAGCCAGCTGACACACACGCGTGCACGCGCATGTACCCTTTCTGTAGATCAACTTTTATTCGCCGATTGCGCGCGACACGATTTCGGCCTTGGGCTATTTTCGCGCTAACGGTAACGAGGTTGTCCGACCGACTGTGAATCCGCGAGTTGTGTCGCGAATTGGACATTGGATCGCTCCGCGTTTTTGCGGATCGACCAGGTGGGGAAAGGGTGGGGGAGGGGAGCCCGGCGATCTCATTCACGGGTCGCGCATTGGACGCGTTCGGGAGGTAAAACTCGATCCGCGAGCTCGCGTCCGTCGCGTTTCATGTCGGGTCGCGTCGCGTCGCGTTGCGGAGCGACGGAAGAGTCCCGGCGGCGCGGCGGGAGGTGGGAAGAAAAGCGTGTCCGGATCTTTCTGAAAGGATACGATATCGCGTTACGCGATAGCAACGCGGCACAATGGTGCTTTGTTAAGGACCGCCGGGGCCTTTATTAAAGTCCTATTGATTCCGTGTGACCCCTCGTGCGCCGCGTCGCGTCGCCGCTCCGAGCAAATGGCTTGACCTATTTCGCCCGCGCTCATTATTATTTTCTCATGGAAACTCGAGCTTTCCTCCGCTAGCCGAAACGAACGAGCGGGCGAGCGAGTTGGCGCGGATTTCAGGACGGTATAATCCGATCGGTGGTAACCGTCGTAAAATCCGGCGACTTAGAATCGAGATACGGGATTTATCGAGGCGCCGGGGAATGGGACATTCTATCGTCTCTCTCTCTCTCTCTCTCTCTCTCTCCCCCCCCCGTGTCTCTATGAGAAATGAGACGGAGATCTAAAGTTTCCTCGTATTCCCCCCCCTTCCCTCGCCCGCTTGGCGCGCCGCATTACCGCGGCGTATGTATGCGGTAAATAATGTGTGGGTGAGCGTTAAATCGTCCGTTAACGTATTATCGCCCGAAACGATCCCGGCGATGCGGCGTACACACACACACACACACACACGCACACACACATACATACGCATACACGAATACACCCAAAGGCGACGACTCGCATTGATTCGACGTGTTGTACGAGCTGCGCGCGCTCGCCAAGGACTCGCGTATACGCGTCGCGAATAATTTCCTTCATCGCGTGGGAATTACGATCTCCTTCGCGGGAAATTCCACTCTTCACTCACTCTCTCTCTCTCTCCCTCTCTCTCTCTCTCTCTCTCTCTCTCTCCTGCCATCTCCGTCGATCCTTCCAGCGAGCTTCCACGGCGAATCGCCGACATGCCGAAGAATTGCGGAATGGAAGACGCTTTCGCGCGAGAGCGCGCGCTATCTTCGGGGCAACGTTTATTAAACGCGCACTTTTATCCGAGGGAGAAATTTCAGAGCCGCGAAATTTACCAGCTGCGAATGTTTTCGGGTTTTCGCCTAACGCGATAATCATGGGCACGGCGCGACGAGACGAGAGCGGGATAAAGTTCGAGACGGCAGTAGTAGAAATCGGCTTACAGCTCGAAGAATGTTAATAAAAGCCGAGGAATTTGGATCAGCAATGCGGCAGGGCGAGGGGAGGGGACGATTTCCTCGCGTCGCGATCGTGTTTGTTCACGGGGATATATCCGCAGTCGCAGTCGCAGTCGCCGACCGCGGGAATTCCCGCTTCGTTAATCGGAACTTTACGATTGGCCTCCGTGCCTTCCGCGGTAATTGTCAGCGTCCGATAAAGGCATCATCGGGACATTGAACTGAACTTCCCCTACGGAGCACCCTGGTCCGATCCGCTAATCCGCCGATCGCTCCACCCTCCTCGGAGTGGCCCCGGCCGTAATCACGAAATCTACCAATTTCCGCCGGTACACGCAGTAATGGGCGACGTTATTGCGAAACTACTCGAAAGCAACTCGCGAGAGAGCAGATGCGTGAGCCGGGATTTTGCCGCGCTCGCGCGCCGCGCGACAGGTGCAAAACTTCCGCGGCAAACAATTACCGGCAAACCCCGAAATTTTCCTTCCGCGGTGAACCCTGCGAACTCCGTCGGGCTTCCGAAGGAGCCCGCCGACCGATGGAAGATCCGCGGATACACCGTTACACGGTTACACTCTGTTGTTTCACCTGGAATGTGAATATTCCCTCCCCCTCCCTCCTCCGCGGAAAAAAGTATCCTATTTGTACAATGATTTTTCTCACAGTCTCATATTCTAAGCGAAGCCTTTTACATGAAAAGGATTTCTCTTGCGCTAAAGCGATTATAGTGGTGAACCATTCAACTAAAATTTATTAGATATTAGATATTCTGTTTTCCTCTTATTTCAAGAAGATTGTCTCTTGTATCAATTAATTTTCCTCTTACATCAAGAAGAACGCTTGTCGGCATTTTTCCTCTTACATCTGCTCACACAGAGACACACACTCTCTCTCTCTGTGCGACAATCGTCGCCACATTTATTTTATGGACAACATCTGGAGCAAAGGAAAAAAGAAGAGAGATCGTTATTCAGTTGGTGTTGATTTTCCCGGTTGTTTCGTCATGAATGAAGTTTAAGAATTTTTGGAGAAAATTAACTTGAAGTCATACTGGTCCACATTTCAGCGTAAATACGTACACATATCCATTTATCACATCGCGTTGCACACTACATTAAATACCATTTAGAGTATTTAAAATTACAAATTTATGTTTTTTCTTACTTTTTCAGCAGAAAGTCAAAAAAATTTAACTCGAATTTTTTCCGGATCAGTTTCATAATAATTTTCTCTTCTCTCCTTATAAAGGAACGTATAACCAATAAGAATAAAATACAGTAAGAGTAAATAATAATCTTTTCAAAAAAAGAAAAATAATCTGTGTATAAGAGGAAATTTACACTAAAATCGATAAGATTTGCATTATATATGTAACATATAAGTTTCCTCCAACTTTAAGAATATAATGTGTTTATATTTTCCTCTTAATCTTAAAGGAATTCTCTTGAGGCCGTATATAAGAGTAAAATCCTCTAAAATTTAGATGACACCGTTTATTCTGTAATTACTTTTCTTTGGGTATTTGCTTCCTAGCGATCTCATCACGTTGAGACTCGAAGAAGCGCTTCTTCGGGGATTATTGATGTACTACTTTCAATATTGTTTACACACCGACCTCCTTGACCTTTAGTTTTAACCTTCCAATTCTTTAAATAAGCACTCAATTTGCTCGTCTTGATATTTCGCCTTAATAAAACGCGTGAGATATAAACGAGTACACCGAATAATTAATAAAAGTATGTGACGCGAAATGGAACACGAAATGGAACGTCTGAAAATTCGTAATTTTATCGTCGTTCTCGCCGTTGGGAATACATTACGACAAGACGTGAGAAGATTCAGCAGGAATGAAGAATGAGAATTATGCAAGTCAATAATTGCGCACCTCAGCAACGCAGCGCTTCGACGGATTTAATTTTAGACTCGTTGCTCGACAACAAGGATAAGCAAGAGGGGGAGTCGCGGTCGATGGAGCAATATCGGACGTAAAAGTTAACACGCTCGCGAGACTGTCGCTGGATTCTAAGAAGCGGGCGTTCACGGTTATAAATTACTCGCGACAAGCGATCGAGGATATAATAAACTGCAGATTAGCAGGCACGAACCGTCGTTCGGTGACCGGGGAATTAATATTCCTAGCGTGCCACATAAAACAAGTACAAATTGGTGAGACCAATCAGAGATTCATGCAGCTGTAATTATTCATCGGTAATCAACCGGCTATGAACGTGTCCGAATTCCGACTCGGGGCGCCTCCTCACCTCCACTCCCCTCCCCAAATCCATCGAAACGTTCGTTCAAATCAGCAACAAGCAATTTGACGTACCTGCGAGTGCGTGATGCACCGCTTTTCGCGTCTCGGCGCCCTGACTTCCTCATCCTGAGCTCTTGGCTGCTCCCTCGTGCTGAATACTCATACGTGGTGCTGACACCGACACTGACACTGACACCGACACACACACACACACACACACGCGCGCGTAAATACGACCGAGGCGACGAGAAACGCGCGCTAACTAACGCGACGCCGACGAGTGTCCGATTGAATATTTCAAGAGTCGGCGGAACGTTTTGATCACATCCGAGACGGGAATTACTGACCGAGTACGGAGACGCGACGCTCGCGAGTATCAAATCAACAATGGACGAAAAGGCCAGCGCTGTCTCGCAACGGTCGCGGGAGATCACAACAATCAACACGTATCATAACAATCCCGTATCCTTCAAATATCTTAGACAACGAACACGCGCTGAGCGCGTGCCTCTCCGGCTCCTCGATTGAAAACAACACCCAAAAAAAAGGTAATTTCAGAAGATGCAAAATCATCTAAATTTTTAAGGATTTTACTCTTATATATAGCCTCAAGAGGATTCCTCGAAAATTAAGAGAAAAATATTATAAACATATTATTCTTAAAGTTAGAGGAATTTTATGTTATATATATATATATATATGAACTTTAAGAATAGTGTGTTTATAATATTCTCCTCTTAATTTTAGAGGAATCTTCTTGAAGTCATATATAAGAGTAAAATCCTCTAAAATTGCTCTAAAATTGCTCTAAAATCCGCTTGTTCCGAAATTACTTTTTTTAGGCTACGCGACCGCTAGATGCGCCTTTCTGATGCTCCAGCTGGAACAACGTGATACGCGACGCTCGTAAGAGAACGAAATTCGGAATGAAAAGAAAGTGCGACGTCTTAACGATCGATACGCGTTCCGGACCCTTCAAAGCGGTCGCACTTGACGCACTTGGAGCGTCACGTACTTCGCCAAGTGAGCTTCCATGCCGGCTTCGAGCCGGCGCGGCGAGCGGCTGCGGAATGTCGACGCTTGAATGATTATTCCTGTCGGACGATTAAAATATTCCGCCAGCTCTCTCTCTCTCTCTCTCTCTCTTTCTCTTCAGCGTCGAATCTGCCGTCTCGTCGACGTCGCGTTAATTAACACGTGTTTCTCCGGTCGAATCGTATCTGCGCGAATGTCGGCGTCATCACTGTCACTGTCACGAGCGAGTACCCGGAGCAATGTCGCGAGCGGGATTCCGCGTCGGGAAATCAGGACGGGGCGGAACCCGAGCGTTCAACGGTGAATCGAATATTTTCAGGTGCGCAGAATAATTTATCATACGGAGGCTTCCCGATTCCAACGGACGTTTGACGAGCTCGCTCGCCGGTAACGAAGAGACGGCGGCGTACGCGGATATTCACCGTTTGTTAAATTATAACTTGACTTGTCATAGCTTCGTGAGTCTCTGGATTATTCTCTGGTCGACGAGCCGCGCAGCTGCATTCCGGAAAGTGGAGCAGCGGCTTGCAAGTACAAACCTGTGGTTAATTACGGCCTCGATCGATGGCTGCGAATAATTTGCAACTGTGCGTGTCGATTTGCATTGTTGCGTTTGACAACGCTTCCATGACGCGAGGCACTTGGCACTTCTGTTCGATGCCTCGTTGCAGCGGCAAGTTAAAATAAAATTTTTATTTATGCGCAGCGTTATTGGACGCGCGACTGTGACACCCCTTTGCGCCTTCTCCCCTTCTCAGCCCTCCCGAACCTGCGGTTTGTTCCCAATTCCTGCCGAAATTTGCAATTTCAATAAAAAAAAAAAAAAAAATAAAAGGTTTATGAATAAAGAAATCACAGTGCGGTCACATTTTCTCGTATTAATCCAATTGTTTTTCTCGTTGATCTCGTTGATTTATTCGTGCTGTTTGATATTTGCTTACCCGACACGCGTACCCCACTCGTGCTTAATTAACGCGTTGCCGACTGCAGTTGAGAGTAAAGATTAAGACGAGAGATAAAATATCGATACGATCTCCGAGATGATAAGCGTGAAAAAAGACAGCGAGTATAAGCAGTGGCAGCAATATCAAGGTAGAACGATATCACGCAGTTCGAGATTCTCCATCGATCAATTCCGCAATTCCGACGGAATTTGCCGGGTCGACTCGGCTACGTGCGGCTTTCTCGATTTGTGACGAATGTCATTACGTGACATCTCTGGCCGCTCGTGAAATGGGCCCGGCTGTATTCGGTTGGTTTTGCCATTAAATACGAACGAGGAGCGCGCGCGTTCCGACGACCATCGGAATAAAGTCTCTCCGGAGGTTCGCGCGTAATTATCGGCCTTAACGATTGTTAGCGTTTATTCGCCGTTCTGCCCGGCAGGCAGGCAGGCAGGCAGGAAGCGCGGCGTAGAAAATCGAAACGCGAACGGTAATAATAAAAAAGGAAAGGAAACGCGGATGGGGCGGAGGGGAGGGGGAGAGGGAGCGAAACGGGGAAAAAAGAGGAAAGAGAGGGAGAAACAGGGAGAGAAAGGCACGCTCGCCGGCGGGAAGTCCGAAACCAATTCCGGCGCGGACTAAACTCGGTATCGGCGAGAACTTCCGGATCGATTCCGCGTGGAGAGCCCTCCTTTATACAATCGACGTTATTCTCTTTGCTCTCGCACTCGACGGGCTAACGACCGTAATGTAGTGCAGTTAATTCCATCCGCGAGAGATCGCGGCGGGCTCGAACTCGCGCGCTCGCGGCAAAAACGGCCGGATTTTCGTCGAGAGTCGCGCGCTTCGAGAGAACTCGCGCGCGCGCGCGCGCGGTTCACCCAAATGATTTATAATTGCCCGCCTCTGATAAGCCGGCGAGTTTTTGCCCGGCCATTACTCGCGACTACACGTGTCGCTCCGTAATCGCCCGGTGAATTATAAACGAGGCTTGACACAATCACACACCGCGTATTATGTGTGACCACTCCTCCTCCCTCGCTCGCCTCATTCGTGCCTTCGTCCTCGCGAGGTATTTTTAATCGCCCGACACACGTCACGTGTCTCGATTCCGCTCCCGGGAAAAAATGCGACAATGACTCGCCCGGATTATCGACACTCGCGATCGCCTCGCTCGTAATTGTCGTTCCCCGCTCCGAGTCGACGAGCAAGTCCGGAAGAGAGAGAGAGAGAGAGAGAGAGGGGAGAGGGGGGGGAGAGACGCCTCCACCGCCAACGCGATCACTCGAGAACGCGATCGCCCGCTCGAGCGTGACTCCGACGCGGACTCTCCATTTTCGCGGCGATAAAACTCGATACACCTCTATATCCGGTTTATTTTGCGCTTTGTCCATTCCGGCGGTTAATCGAGCCGCGTTTCGAGTTAATCGGCCGATATCCCCGTCGGAGCGAGGTCTGAGCTGCGAAGCGACGCAAAGCCGATTTCGGGCGGCTTGGGAGCCGACACTCACTTCCCTCTCACCCTGTCTCTCTCTCCGCTCGTTTCTCCGTCCCTTTCTACTTTTCTCTCTCTCCCTCTCTCTCTCTCCATCTTTCTCGTTCGACTTGTCTCGACAGGGCAAGGCAATCCCGTCGGGGACACGGGCTGATCGAAATCGATGGCGCGTGCGATTTGCGAGCGCGGCCAGGGGTGTAGCGCGTGTGTAAATAAACCGTCAAACGTTTACAATGTAGGGAAGAGGATGGAGGGTAGAGGAGGAGGGGGGGGGAGAAAGCGAGAAAGGACGACACACACACGGCGGCCCGACGCCGGCGTTGGAGTCCGCAGCCGCATGTCACTCGGTTTAACCGCGTGTCAGTCGATATCATCGCACCGAGTGGAAATCTCTGCTATTGACAAGCGCATGAATATCGTTAATAATAAATAATGCTTCCGCGCGACTCCCCTGGTCGCGTTCTCTCTCCCTCCCTCCCTCCCTCCCTCTCTCTCTCTCTCTTTGTCTACTCCCCGCTGTCGCATCTCTGTCTCCCTCGACGACTGTTCTCCGCTTCGTACTGATGACCGGCAACGGCTCCGGATCCGGACGAGCAGTCGCGACATGGACAGAGCGAGGGGGAGAGAGAGAGAGAGAGAGAGAGAGGGGGAGGGAGAAAGAGAAGAGAAATCGTTGAAAAAGCCGCTGGAGAATTGTTTTTTCACGCCACTCGAGCAACCCCATCGTGACACACGTCGATCCTCTCTCCGGCTTCCCCTTCTTCGTCGGCCATCGCGCGAGCCTCGACGACACCGCGGCCGACGGCCGACGGACGTCGACGGACTTCGCATGTAGACGCGGCGTGTCGATCATCAGGCTGGCTGACGGAGGAGACGGTCTCAGCGACAAGCGCGCGTTTTCGAGCGCGACGTGGCGACGGACGACCGGCGAGCGAGGAGAGGGCGAAAGGACCCGCGATATCCCGCGGCAGAGAGATGCGGGCGATACATTAATCACGCGCCATGGGAATCGCGCGGCCGCGCGATAATCGGGCTTTAATTGACACGCGGATATGCCTGAAAAATACCCTCGCGAGCGCGTCCTCCAACCCCTTCCCTTCCCTCCCTCCCTCCCTGCCTGCCTGCCTGCCTGCCGGCCGACCGGCCACCCCTCTCGCGTCCGCGACGCGCTCCGAACTCCGAACGCTCTATTCCGCCGCGAGTGCAGCCCGCCATAACGTAATTAACTTTTTGCGTAATACCACCGGTAATGCGAAAGGAAATTGCGGGAATTAATTAAGACGCCGTGCGCACGGCTATCTCCGGTCCAGGCTCTCTTGCCCTCCCCTCTCCCCCTCCATCGCTCGCTCTCTCTCTCTCTCTCTCTCTCTCTCTCTCTCTCTGACGCGCTATCGTGTACACGTGCACGCGTCGGCCGCGTGCGTTGCGCCTTCGTTCAGTTCCGGAAAGCAGCGCTCACATAAAAGGGCCGTTCGCGCAACGTGCATGTCTCGAGGGCGGCGCGCCTAGGAGCCGATGAATATGCAGATGGGCCTTTCTTTCTGCCTCTACACCTATCTCTATCCCCCTCTTCCTTCTCTCTCTCTCTCTCTCTCTCTCTCTCTCTCTCTCTCTCTCTCTCTCTCTCTCTCTCTCTCTCGTTCTCCTCCGCTTTCGCCGGCGTTCTCGGCGACGCTCGCTCGACCAAATAAGGGAGAGCCGCGTTCGCGCGCGCGCGTCAAGTCGCGCAGCTTCGAGAAAAAATTCTTTGCATTTTTAACGCGCTCCATCGCATCACGACGCGATGCGACGCGACGCGACGCGACGCGACGCATCTAGGTCCACCACTTCGGCCGAAGAAATTTCGCCTCTCTCCCGATGTCGCCGATGCGACGTGCGCGCTCGCCCGTCTT